TTTCTTCCTCTCGAACCGCGCCCTTCTCATCTCTCCTCCTGTAGTATTTTACAATCAGCAACAAGTTATATTATTAAGAATGAGCGTAGGGAGAACAAAGGGATTCATCACAGATGGTATCTAACCGGTTTGTTCTTTCTTATTCATGCCCCCACCTCCAGGAATGATAAGGGCCAAAAATACGATCGAAGGAAAGGATAATAGGGGAGAAGGGACGAGGAGAGGAGAGGAGAGAAGGGACGAGGGGACGGACCCCCCCGACGAGTCGACGAGTCGAGAGGAGAGGAGAGGAGAGGAGAGGAGAGGAGGAGGAATGATCCTACTGCAGGTCAGAGCTTGCAACTGTACGCACTTTCGCGGTTGTCCCGCGTGCGTTCAGATGCTCAGCTGCTCAGAATATAACGTAGTGCTGGACAAGAAGTCGGCGATGATAATCCTGCAGGGGCTACAGGAAGGACTCTCCTCCTCCTCCTCCTCCTCCTCCTTCTCCTTTGATGCTGGTATGGAAAAGGATATGGAGGACATGAACTCCATGGTGCTGAGGCGACAGAGAACGCTCTACTGAGAGGGAGGAGGGAGGGAGAGACGAGAGAAAGAGGGGGGAGGTGAAGAGGGAGAGAGGGAGAGAGAGAAGAGAGAAAGAGGAGGGAGAGGGAGAGGGAGAGGGAGAGGTAGAGGTAGAGGTAGAGGTAGAGGGAGAGGGAGAGGGAGGAGGGAGGTGGAGGAGGGGGGGGGGAGCAGGAATCTTGAGGATCAGATCTGTTCGAACTTGCTCGTTCTATTGACATTATTGGGGGATGGGAGGATTATCGGTAAACATTGTTTGCCTTCAACTCCTCCACTTCCTCCCCTTCTCCTGCCTGTCCTCCGGTTTCACGGTACCTTCTTCCTACTTCCTCCTTCTGTTTTACAGTCAAATCGTTTTGTACAGCATCCCGCAAACCTCTACTCTATTCCGCTCCTGCCCCTGCCCCTCCCTCTTCTCGTGCTCCTCGTACTCCTTCTCTTACTGCTGCTGCTGCTGCTGCTGCTGCTGCTGCTGCTGCTGCTGCTGCTGCTGCTGTTCACGCCCATCCTTTCTGGTGGAATCCCATCCCGGTGTCTTCGAAGGGCAGTGCCACGTCATCATCAATGTCTTCCTGCAGCTCCCAGCAGTCGACCGCCTCTGCTCCATAGCCGATGCCTGCAGAAAGATCAAAATGCGCATGTGGAGGAAAGAAATTGATCCACGTCATTATCATCATCTATCAGATTCATCACCACCATTTTCTTCTTTTCCTTCATAATCATCTTCTATACCATCATCACCACCACCACCACCACCATTACTGTTCCAAACATCTCTAAGATGGTCGTGAAGTTTTCTTCTATCGCCATCATCAAAATCATCTACCTCCTCCGAGCGAAGGGATGGGTCGTTGACTCGGATACACATCAAGCACCTGATAAGGAAGGTGTATCATCATCCAGAAGGAAGAAAAATCATGCTATCAACAAAGATGACTGAGCACGTGGTGGCGATGGTGGTGGATGATGAGGGAGGAGGGAGGGAGGAACGGACGTGGAGGGGGTGAGGAGATAGGAGGAGGGGGCGAGGAGAAAGGAGGAGATGTGTGGGGGCAGGAGCGCATCAAATATTGCTGCAAATTGAGAAGGAGCAAGAAACTATCATCATCGCATACACTCACCCGGACAATGTTCGCCTCGTCAAGAGTGAAAGGAGCCACCCTTGAGTCCGCGTACCTGCCGAGTTCTGTCAAACAACAGGCAGGAGCAAGGAGGCAAGCGTACAACTCTTTGCTTCCCTGCTCCCGAACACAGAGCAGCTGTACCACGAGACTGTCTGCATCGATCAAAGCTGCCAACCCCTTCGTCTTGGGCTCGTGCTGGAGCAGGAGATGCTCTGGAAGAAGAATTTCGAGGCAATCCTTCTCGAACAATTCTTGTGATGCCATGGAAAACGAGAGCCTCCTCGGTGACTGCCACAGATCTGCGAAGCATGACCTCCTGCTCGCGCATGGCGATCGTGCCCCCAGTGCCCTGCCCACGGACAAGCGGTGATGGCTGATCCTGCTCGGGAGCAGGCAGCTCGTAGAGACGAACATCAAGGAGGAGTAAGAGGGAGAAGCCAAAGGGACGGCAAGAGCATGCGAGAGGAGGAGGAGGAGGAGGAGGAGGAGGAGGAGGAATGGAAACCCTTCCACCATGGGCGCAAACCTCGGGGGATATAAAAGTGGGAATGAGGGGGGACGGGGGCTACTATGATGCTGGGAGTGAGGGAGGATGAGGGCTGACGGAGTGGCAATTTTGCGAAAGGTCAGCCCGGTTCCGCCATGGCGTACGGAGACCTGGAGAGGCGCAGGACGCGCGTGTTTGCGATGGCAGGAGGCTCCTTCCTCATTGCCCTGGCATGCCTGAACATGATGGCAAGCTTCAAGAGCACGAGGACGACCATGCTCAAGTCCAAGGTCCCTTGCTGCTCTCCATCTCTGTCTCGGTCCCTTCCTCTCCTCCCGATCGACTGCAGATCAGCTGCATCTCCGGCTCCTGCTGCTCCCATGTGTTATCATTCCCGCTCTTATCAGATTCTCCTTTGTATGCCTGCCATTCATGTTCTTGGTTGCTCGCAGATGGACCCGTACGTGAGCTCCCGCGCTGCCAGGAGTGATCTCAACAGCTACTTCGACAAGCTGCCAGTTCACAAGGGCAAGAGGTGAGAAGCCCTTGCAACGATCTCCTCCTCACTTGCTTCCAGGATGGGCATCTCTGCTCGTCGTGCCCGCATGCAGCTGAACAGCATCTTCCAGCAAGGTGAGCGTTGCTCCTTGCTTTCTCGAGGCCTCGCATGATTTTCTCTAGACCCTTCTGTGATGCATCAGGCGAAGGCTCTCAACCAGAGAGTGAGGAGGCAGGTGGTTCAGGACCTTGCCTTCAGCTCCAAGAACGCCAAGGACGACATCGACTCCTACTTCGATTCGATGCAGCCCGAGACGCACAAGTACTCCTACCACCACCACCAGCACGACAAGTCTGATGCCGATGAGGTCCAGTGTGCTTGCTGCCTCTCGTCTCTGATGGGAAGAACAGGGCTTGAGCCACGCTCAGCTCCAGGAGAGACTCGTCAAGTTCAAGAAGCAGAACCCTGAGTTCGCCAAGAAGGTGGAGGAGGTTGACCACAGCGCTCTCGTGCTGCCCATGGACTTATCCGCATGCTTCCAGGCGCATGCGATGTGGATGAAGAACCACAAGGCTCCTCCTAAGACGATGAAGGAGAAGAAGGAATACGGCGTGCTCCTGAACAAGGTTGTCTCTCCTTTTCCCCCCTCTCGCCTCATCATCTTGCAGTACGTCGGAGACATGGCGGCGATTCTTTCGGGCAAAGAGGCACCCCAGCCAGCCAAGGCTTCCAAGCCAGCCAAGGCTAGCCTCAAGTCCCAGGCGTTCAAGGCCTACATGGCACAGCATCCTGATACCAAGAAGAAGTTCATGAAGGTAAGATACAAGGAGGACGAGTGGGAAGAAAAGTACTTGGAGGGCGAAAGGAGGGAGATGGAGAGGAGGACATAAACAAGAATGTGACGATGTTGGCAGGCTCAGGGAATTTTCTTGAAGAAGTATGGTCACTTGCCGCAGAACGATGGAGAGAAGCAAACGTTCAAGGCTCTGCTCAAGAAGTACGTCGGACATCTCGACATCTCGGTTAAGAAGACGCTTGGCAAGGGTAAGAGGCCTGGAGGGACTTGACAGGCATGGAGTATGGCGAGTGAGGTGGAAGGGTGGAGGGATCAGGGAGAGGAACTCTCAGGGATGGGGGGATTCATGTCTTGCCATCCGCTCATGTTCCCCGACAGATTCCGCGGACGTGAAGTCTGGAGCTGACGACAGCACCGCCAGCAAGGTGCGAGGAGGAGGAGGCAAAGGTTGCTGGCTCGAGCATGCTGATCGTTTAGCGCAGGTGGACGATGAGACGAAGCAGAAGATGTTGAAGACGATGGAGAAGAAGGACCCAACACTCCAGCAGAAGCTCAAAGAGGTCGGACGAGGTGTAGTTCGTGATGTGCCTGACATGCTCTTGAAGGCCCACGACGTCTGGATCAAGACCGGCCATAAGGGACCCCCCAAGAATGCAGAGGAGGAGAAGCAGTACAGGAAGCTCCTCGACCAGATGGTCGGCGAGGAGAGGACCAAGGCTGTCAAGTCCATGTAAACATTGAGATCCTTTACTTGGCTCTCCCCCTATTCCTCCCCTGCTACCCGCCTCCTCGCCCTCGGGCACTTGTGCGCCAGTGTTAACTCCCCCCAACGTCGTCATGTCTTCTTGCCACCCTTTATCCCACCCAGCACGCCAGTGTGGGCTGGACGGAGTTTGCGCAGTTCCTACAAAGTTGATCAGGGAGGAGCAGGAGCAGGAGCAGGAGCAGGAGCAGGAGCAGGAGCAGGAGCAGGAGCAGGAGCAGGAGCAGGAGCAGGACCTGTGCGAGGACGCAGTTGGCTTCATCCATCTCAGCCAGTCGGATCTTGCTGGTCGTGAGCTCGTGTATGAGATCCTCGTACTGACAGCAGTCGTCAAGGAATGGTGGAGTACGTAGAGAGAGGGGGAAGGAAAGGAGGCCGACGAAGAGTATAGCAAGGAGGAGGAGGAGGAGGAGGATGAAGGGCTAGACACTCACTTCAGGCTCGAGCTCCTTGAGCCTCTCAGATCGCTGTTGCAGGTCCTGCAAGTGAGTTAGAGAGGCCTTACTCGCTTCCTCGAGCATACCGGCAGGTTCACTTCCTGCCAGTGCCTGAAGTTGTCCAGCTCCTCCTCCACTTTCACCCTCCGTATGTTGGACTCTAGCAGCTGCTCTTCCAGTGTCGCCTTCTCTTCCTCCCACCGGCTCGTCTTCTCCCGCAGCTCTGCCTCCTGCAGCCGAACCATCTTCTGCATGCCCTCGTATACTTCCTTCCTGCCCCTCAGCTCCTCGACCTCCTTCTCCAGCTTCTCCGCATGCTGCAACGCCCGCGAGAGCTCGGCCGTCTGCCTCAGCCCGACACGCGCGACCTCGAACAAGTTTTCCAGCTCGATCAGGTGGCGGCGAATGCCGGAGAGCACAGCTTGTCCCTTCACCTCCTCCTCCGACGGCATCCCCGCCATCAGGCCCCGTAGGCTCGAGTGCTTGAGGACCAGAGGAGAAGAAGCCCCCGCCTGTGATGCTCCCACGACTGCGAGCAGACGCTCCCTGTCCCGCAGCAGCTGCTCCACCTCCTCAGCATCCACCTCCTTCCCGCTTGAGAGCCTGACGACGCCTCCTCCTCCACCCCCTTCCAACCGACCCGCCGAGTCAGTCTGTGTGCCGGCCTCGCACATCTCTGATAGGATGTGGGCGAGGGAGGGAGCAGCGGAGCCAGTGAAGCTCGTGTTGCGGACCAAGGGGGCGGCCTCTGCATCCTCTGTGAGATGCCTCGGAGACGAGCTGGAGCCCGCAAACTTCTCGAGCAGGAGGCGCTGCCGCAGCTTCGCCTCGTTGACCCTCAGGCGCGTCTGGCGGCCCCTCACCATCTTCTGCAGGAGGGTCGCTGACCCCCTCTTCTCCCTCAGCCTCTGCACCTCCTCGTTCCTCCGCAAGCAGCTGCCCAGCTGCTGGACGGCAGACAGCTCCATCAGCCTCTTGATGTGCTTCTGCTGGGCTGCAGCTCGGCGAGCCCGAGCCTCTAGTTCCTCTGCCGCTCTCCTCCACGCTTTCATCGAGCTTGTCCTCCTCCTCCTCACGCTCCCCTGCAGCAGTGCCGCCGCGTCCGTCAGATGGTGGGAGAGCACCTCCTCCAGCCGCGCCAGGACCCCTCCCTTCATGAAGATCTTGTGCTTCCCCAGCTGGTACAGGGACGAGTCTGAGCAGAAGTCCAGCAGGATGCTCCTGCTCTGCTCCCGCGCCTCCTCCAGGGTCTTGACGTGGCTGCCGCGGACAAGCATGCGGTAGCGGGTGGCGAAGTCGAGGAAAGAGATCCTGGAAGGATACCCTGCCTGCGCGATCTTCACTGCAGCGTACACCCCCGAGCATCGCAACTGGTGGTCGACCATCCCAGCATGCAGCAGCAACGGCGCCTTGGCCGCGTTGGGTTTGATGCAGCGGACGAAGGTCGGGCGAGTCCTCGCAAGCGTCTTCATGAGCTGCTGCAGCTGCTCGCGGAACTTGGCAGACACGCTGATGTGCTGGGAAGCCTTGGAGCCGAGTTGTCTCCCCATTTGGCGGGACTTGGAGGAGGAGGAGGAGGAGGAGGAGGAGGAGGGGGAGAACATGTCCTTGATGATGGAGACTCGAGAGCTGGCGAGGAGCTCGGTGAGGTCAGAGTAGAGCTGGTCCTTGTTCTTGTCGAGGAAGCCGAGCACGAGATACTCGACGGAGCCGGCAGAATGCTTGACGAGGAAGGACGTGTGCTTCAGCTTCGGCTGCGTGAAGTCCTTGGACGACGCATGCTTCTTGCTGAGCACCTGCCGGGACGGTGAGGAGAATGTTATCCGAAGAGAGGGAGGAGAGAAGAGCAGGGATCTGATGGATGAAGGAGCGGAACAGACGACAGGAGCTAAAAGTGAAGAATGATGAGGGGGGAGGAAACGAGTCAATGAACAAGGAGGGAGGGAGGGGCAGGAAAGGGAGGGAGGGGCAGGAAAGGGAGGGAGGGGCAGGAAAGGGAGGGCAAGGAGTGAAAGGTCTACCTGCAAGAAGGACGAGTCTGTAGCTGTTGCAAACAAACACTGGTCGTCCAATATGGGCAGGATGCCCTCCGGCTTTCCCTCTAGCAGCTCCAGCACAGACAAGTTGTCCTCGTAGTCCACACGGACCCACTCCACCTCCTCTGCTGCGTACTCCTCCTGCTCGCTAGAAAGCATCTGGTCGTTGAAGTACCTCTGCAGCTTCTCGTTGGCATAATTGATACAGAGCTGCTCGAACCCATTCTCCTCCAGAATCTCGAAACCAAAGATGTCGAGGAGCCCGATGCATCCAACGGAGGAGGAGGAGGAGGAGCCGCTGACCTGAGCCGAAAGGACCTCGTTGATCCTCTCCAGCAGCCAGTCAAAGAGCCTCGTGTAGAGGGCGCGAGAAACAGCATCGCGCGATAGGATTGCCTCCATCCTGCTCTTCGGGACCTTAAAGGCCGTCAAAAACTACCGACATGGACCTCTCTCCCTTTCTCCCCTCCCCAGCCCCCCCCCCTCTCCTCTTCCTCCTCCTCCTCTGACTTCCTCCTCTCACCTGCAAGACTTCCAGTCCAGCCTTGATCTTCCTCTGGCACAACGCTGTCCGAGCATCCGCTGGTTCCAACCCGAGCACACGGCATGCCACGTCCTCTGCTCCATCGTTCATGGTCCCCGACCCGTCCTTGAGCGCTCCGAACTCGATGTCTCCGAGGTGCAAGATACCAGCAAGAATTCGCCAGATCCCCTCCTGGGCTGTAGGTGGAATCCCGACGGAGGACAGCGCGTTCTTGGTGGTGCGGAAGTCGGCGGAGTCATCAACGCCGGGGATGGAGAGGCACTTGCCCTGCCTTGAGAACTTGTGGGCTGATGCTGCCGACAGCTTGAGGACGGCAAGCATGTCCTCTCCTGCTCCCGCGCAGAGCTGATAGAAAATGTGATAGTTTCTCTCCCCCTCCGCCTGATGCGTGACCCTCGATTTCTCAAGGAGGTAGTGCTCGATGTACGCCTCACTGATGCGGTGGCTCTTGGTCACGTGGATGCGGATGAACTTGCCAAACCTCGAGCTGTTGTCGTTCCTGATCGTCTTTGCGTTGCCAAACGCTTCTGTCAGAGGGTTTGTCTGCAGGAAAACTCTCTCCATGCTCTTCTCCCCTCCCTCGTCCTCGCTGCTCCTGTCTCCTCCCGTGCCATCGCCGCTTTCCATGTTCCAGAAGGCGAGGTAGCGCATGATGGACTTGGCAGCCTCAGTCTTCCCTGCTCCGCTCTCCCCGCTGATCACGATGGACTGGTCCATCTTATCTCGAAATAGAGACTGCAACGCGCTTTCCGCCGCTGCAAACACGTGCGGGTCCTTCTCGCTGACATTGGAGCCCCGGTAGGAGGACATGGTCGAATCATCGTACAGCCCTGCGATGGGTTGGAACGGGTTGATGGAAATGAGCAGCGGGCCTGTGTAGGTGTAGATCAGGCCAGCTCGGAAGCGAACAACCAGATTGTGAAGGAGGCAGGGAGCACTGAGTTCAGAGAGGCGGCACATGTCGGCTACTCCATCGAACCGGGAGGGGTTGGCGAGGAAGACGTCCTCTAGCTGAACCTGCTTCGTCAGCGGCACCTTGCCGCTTGGGAACGTCTCTCCTACTTTGATCATGAAGGTCGGGTGTGAAGGGTTAACATGCTCGTCCAGAACGTCCTCGACCTGTCCAAGCTCCCACCTGCTCTCGTTTCAACTCCATCACTCCTAACGAATGCACGTACCTGGTGATCAGCTTGATACATCCCTGCGAGAGCTCCTTCCTCCTCGAGCCCTCTTCCCCGCCCTCCAGCTTCGCATCGGCTGGATGCTGAGGCCTCCATGGGTAAAGCGGAGCACCAGCATTGCGCACGATCTCGACGTCGTCCTGTGTGCGGATCCAAACGACAGAGCGCTTGGTTGGGTGTAGGAGATTTGAGCCTGACATGCTTGCGGGGAGAGAAAGGAGGAAAGATCTGCTAGCTGAAGGGGTCAAAATGAAAGCAGGACCGTATCGCGCATTATGTTCATATCCTTCAGTTCCTTATCTGTGGCAGGCATCAGTCAGTGAATCTTCAAGGAAAAATGTTGTCCATCAATGTTTTCCTTCCTCTGCGCACCTTATCTCCGCAATCCTATCACCCTGTCTACCTACATCAACTCAAGTCCTGGCTCCCTCCCTCTCCTGGCTCTCTTCCACAGCGTCATACTTCCTCCCTCCCTTCCTCCATCTCTTCCGCCTTCCCTCATCGTTCTCCTTCACTTCCTCGTAAAATCTCTTGCTCGCGTCTACCCTTCCTGCTCCTCCCCATCCTCCCTCCCACTTCGTCATCGCCACCGGTTCGACCTATGAGCATTTTCCCCTCTGAATGTGGGGGGATGAGGGTAAAAGAATGAGGGTGATGATTTTGTGAGAATGAGGGTGATGAAATTGAGATGGGATGAGGGGGGATAAGGGAGTCAAGGAGGGTTGATTGTAGTGTCATGCTGTGCATATATCCTTCTTTTCTTTTGAGACCGGTACTTTAGACTGCAACTTTGCCACAGAATACTGGGTGGGTATACCGCACCACCCCCTCTAATTGCACCCAATTCAAGATTCCCGACCTGGGTCATTGGGGTTACGTGTGCTTACAAGAATTGGATGACAACAGGTGGGGGTGGTGTTTATACCCACCTTTTTCCTTCAGAATAAAGGCAAATACCTGGTAGGGTAGTATATCCCAGGAGGGGTGTATAGGGTACAAGGGGAAGCTTTCGGACATGGTTGCCGGGATTTTGGGAGGGGGGCGATGGCGGGAGGCAGCGGCTGCAGCGATGGTGATGATGATGACAGAGGATCCTTCCTATGGTTGATGAAGCATGCAGATTCTTGCCCTCGGGTATTCATTCGCCCGGGCTCATCCCAACCGGCTGGCGGGGTCGGCATGGGTGGCTGTTGTTTTATCTTGGGGATTATGGAAGAGAAAGGAGGTTCGTATAGCCTTCTCAAGTCTTTCTGATGTCCGGCGCCTTCGAGTTGCTGTAAATTTTGAACCCTCATCGCACTCTTTGTTTTCAGGATCTTGTGAAGGACCTTGAAGGGATTGAATTTGTTCCCTGGACGCAAGTAGAAGCGTTTGCAAGCGAGATGCTGGTGGTGAGAAGAAGATTCGAATCAGACAGTCTTCGAGTCATACTAACACGGTGTTTGTATTGTAGTTGGATTGTACACATTCGACACTCGACTGCCTGACGCACCATAGGGTATGTCGCCGAATTATGTTCTTGGAATTGAAAGTATTCTTTGTGAAGTCGCAACTTTGCAGATGCCTTCTGCCGCTCCAGCAGCGATAGCGGGGGACACAACATCAGCCATGGTGCTCAGTGCTGTGAAGCAAGGGCATAAGATCCTCTCCTGCCACAAGAAAGTCTCGGTCAACCATTTCGACATCGACGCTTTCATCAGCGTGTGGAGCGCCTGCAACCCGTCCCTCACCAAGGACTTCTTCGATGCGCTGCTTCAGGCAGCGGCCATCGGCGACTTCAGAGAGTTCGATCAGACTCAGCTCGGATCGGACCTGGGGCTCAAGATCTGCTGCTGGATCAACACGATGGAGAGGTGGGACCGGCACATCGCGTGCCGACGGCTAAAGACTGTGAACAGGCGACTGTTCTCGCGTCCTTTTGAGGACGGGGACGAGGACAAATGGCCATACTTCATGCAGGAGGTGAGAGCTGATCTTGTTGTTCAAACATGCCTGGCGACTGATGGGAGGCTAGGGCCGTTTCTTGCACTTCCTGAGGAACCCTGACGAGCACGAGGAGGAGTGGAAAGAAGAATATTCGAGGTGATTATATTCCAGGAGAGCGATGAGAGGGCGTTACTTGGTTCTTCTAGGGTCAAGAGCGATCTTGTTTCCATCGAAGAGCTCGGAAGAATCCGATGGTAACTCTTCGGCTCCCTGAAGCAGACCTGACCCGCCTGGCGTCCTTCAGTTATGACGACATCAGCCTTTGTGTCGTTCAGGTACCCGAGCCCATCCACTACTATGCTCTTTTCAGGTAAGAAATACACAATCTGTCAGCTCGTCAGTGATTGTTGTATGGAGTGTCTCGAAGGGATACGATGTGGTCTTGTCCGGTTACAGCAGAAACCGACATGAGATTGAGCAGAAATACACTCAGGTGTACCTCCACTCTAAGCACGGAAAAACATTCTCTTGACTTTTCACTGGCAGTTTGTAAACCTGGCAAGTAGGAGGACGCTCCCAAGGCTGGAGTTGGCGACCCTTTGCAAGACTTTGAATGAGTTGGAGGAGTATGCAGCAAAAGGTTCATACCTTCTCGCTTGCCTTCCTAGGTCTGCTGAAAGTGCTATAGCGGCCGAGAGACGGACGATAGGAGCGATGAGGAGGCGTAGCGCGAAGAAGGAGTCTCAGATGACGTGGAAATGTGAGCGAGTGGTGGACACAGGCCCTCTTCTTCGCCTGGAAGACTCGGAGAGTCCGGAGGCGATGACTAGAGCTCAACGGTATGACTTGATGGTTGTGCTATGATGACATGCCGTCAGCTATGCCCACCCGTATGAGAGAGACATCCAGTCCTCCAAGATCAAGTTGAACTCGATGGAAAGGTGAGACTTGTTCTCTTTGCAACGATCCCCCCTGAGGATCTGACCGTTGACCCGTTGAACCGTCTATTCGCCGCCCGTCTCGTCGCCGTCCTCAGGCTGCTCGTCTCGTACATGACACATTCTTATAACGGCGTTACTCCGAAGCTGCGATGGACCTGGAATGACATCCATCACTTCAACAAGAGCATCCGCTACGACAACTGGAAGGTTGATTTCGAAAGCCTCGTTACTGCCGCCCTATAGCCTCAGCCGGCGGGGCCGCCGGGCCTGCTGGCGGCACTGCACTGTGGCTGGCGCTCTCACCACCGTTGTGAAGTGATGAGCAGTCACGAGTCTCATCAGTGATAGTTCAGTAAAGATATTGTTAGTTTCAAGCCTGAGCGCGGCTGCGCCGCGGGGGGGGCGGGGTAACCGGAGCACTGCCAGCCTGAGGCTGAGCCGCCGGCGCTGTGCCATGCTTGTGCGGCCATCCGATCGGTGGCATCGCCGGGATCACGGGTCCGCGGCCCGGCCGCTGCGCGGCCGGGCCTCAGTTAGTAGTAGCTGCGGCCGCGGCCGCTGGGCCTGGCACGAGAGAACGGTGCCACCAGGAGGGCCCGGGCCGCCGAGTGACCCGTGAGGCCCGGCCGGGCGACTCCGGCTGACTCGGGCGATGAGGTTAGAGGGAATGAGGGCGATGATCGTTGAAGTCTCGTGGCCACGTCAGATGGGTAGTGGTAATTTTGTGAGGGGTGGTGGGAAGTTGTAAATTGGGGGGTGGGGGTGATCATTAGCATCTCACTGGGGTGGGTACACGACTCTCAACTCCTGCGAATGTGGAACGAACTGATTTTGTTTAGCCTCAAAATTTCCAAATTTATTTTTTTAATGAAATTAGAAAATAAATTTCATATATTAATTGAAATATTTCATAAAATCCAAACTGCTGGTATTTTCGTTCTCCCTCCTGTTCTGAGGTGAACGATCCTGATCGTTCAGGGTGGGTGGTACCCCTGCAAGGGGAGTGTGGGGCCTCTTGAGAGGGGGTGGGGTCAACCAGGTAGCAGTAGCAAGTGACAGGGTCATCGGCCTATCTGGATCAATGCTGGGTCGCGGCGGAGCAGCGGGATGGCCAGCGTTGGCGCTGGTTGCGATGGCAATGGTGGCGTGTGTGCAGGCAGAAGAAGTCCTCACTCTCACAGAGTCGAACTTCGATGAAGCTGTAAGCTCATCCTGATCCTGCTGAGTCTTGTGGAGAGTTTCCCTCCCCAAAGTCGATACTCTTTGTTTTCACTTCCTCCTTGAACGGGAGGAAATGCATTGTTGATATGATTTTCTTCCCACCAGCATGTTCGTACTTCCACTAGACAGCCCTCCTCCATGGATGCTTTCCATTTCTAGGATGCCTGACACTCATTTAAGGTCAAGAAACATAGCTTCATGGTTGTTGAATTCTACGCTCCATGGTGAGTTTCATCGGGCTGCTCAAGGTAGCATGGTTTGACTTGTCCTTCTGCAGGTGCGGACACTGCAAGTCGCTGGCCCCTGAATATGAGAAGGTAAGAGCATTCACTGCTCCTGCTGTCGGTGGCAGCTGTTCTTGTCGTGACGTTCCATCGCAAACACCTTGTGGGCACGCACCATTGCGCTGAGATGCATGAGATTCCTGATCGCTCATGTCAACGTTGCATTACTGTTCCTTCACATGTTACCCTCTCAATCGAACAAGGAGCTCGCGCTCAGTGTGGACGCTGATGCTGCTTCTCTCAGGCTGCCGTCGCCCTCAAGGGAGACAAGTCTGCCGGGCAGGAGATCATTCTTGCCAAGGTCGACGCCACCGTTGAGAGGTGGACGAGCTAGCGCATGCTCAGGAGGCAGAGCCTGACAGCAGCATGCAGGAACTTGGCGGAGAAGTACGGCATCGGAGGCTTTCCTACCCTGAAGATCTTCGAGAACCATGACGCCGCCGCTCCTTCAGAATACGCTGGGCCCAGAGATGCGACGGGCATTGTCAGTTTCTTGAAGAAGCGAGCAGGACCAGCATCGCTGGAGGTCACAAGCGATGCACAGGCCAAGGAGCTCAAGGTAGCCTCTGCCCTTCCTCTCTCGCTTTGTGTTGATGGTTGGGAGCAGGAGAAGAACTCTGTTATCGTTGTCAACACCGGAAAGGCAGACAGCACGTGGACGTCGATCGCTAACTCCATGCGGGATGCAGTGCTCTGGGTTCACACGTCCAACAAGCAGGCTATGAGCGCGTTCGGCGTGAAGAGTGGGACGATCACGATGCTGAAGACCTTCGATGAGAAGACTGTGACTTACTCCGGGTCGCTCACCGATGCCAAGAAGATCAAGGACTTTGTGAACGAGCACAGGGTTGAGATCGGCCTGTTCGTGAAGAAGGGAGACCAGGGAGCCCTCAAGATTGTGTTCGAGGACGAGAACAAGCCCAACGTGTTCCTCTTCACCAACGATGACAAGGCCGGGCTTGACGCCCTCAAGGCTGTTGGCAAGAGCCACCGCAAGGACATGGTCTTTGCTTACTTCGTCGCTTCCGACTTCCCCGAGGCGTTCTCCCACTTCAGCATGGAGAAGTTCGTCGACTCCTCCTTGCCCAAGGTTCTGATCGAGGACAGAAAGGAAGGACTCCGCTATCTCATGCAGGAGGCCGTATCTCAGACCAGCCTGCAGAAGTTTGTCCAGGGCTACAAGGCCAAGACTATCGAGCCCTACCTCAAGTCGGAGGAGGCGCCGGCCGACAACTCCGGGCCCGTCAAGGTCATCGTGGGCAACACGTACGAGGCTGATGTGCTCAAGAGCCAAAAGTGGGTCTTCCTTGAGGCGTACGCGCCATGGTGCGGCCACTGCAAGCGCCTGGAGCCCATCTGGACTGAACTCGGCAAGGCGTTCAACAAGTGAGGATGGAGGATGAGGATGGAGGAAGGGGGGCGGGGGGGAGAAGGATGGTGTATGGATGTGGAGACAGGGAGGTTGGAAGCAGCGTCAAGGGCGCGAGGTGGGGAAGTAGATCACTGATGACAGTCTGGGAGCAGGGAGGATGTGATCATTGCCAAGGTTGACGCAACTGCCAATGACCTTCCTAAGTCACTCAACATTAAGGTTTTTGCCCCTTCTCCTCCATTTCTTCTCGCTGAAGCTACAGTAGGGCTTTCCTACCCTGATGCTCTTCAAGGGAGACGGGTCACTCCCTGAGATGTACAGCGGTAAGTTGCTTTGAGGAATAGGAAGGGGGGGGGGGGGTGCTGGTTAGATCGCATGCGCAGCGTTGGGGATGTGGCGAAGTCGGAGGGGTCGGAGGAGACGGAAGAGGCGGAGGGGAGGAAGAAGATTTAACCGGCTTCAACAGGAGGAAGAGAGTTCAATGATCTGGCAAGCTTCGTGACCTCCAAGACTGGAGCCAAGGCATGAGCCTCTTGCGCTCGCGTCGTTTGCTGACTTCCTTGTTGTAGATGAAGGAGGGATTCAAGCCTTCCGTCACAGAGCAGGGCAGCTCAGAGACCACAGAAAAGAAGATCCTCCGCTTCATGGCTACCCAGTTCCAGGTATGTTCCCCTCCTCCCTCCTCCCCTCCCTCTCTCCCTCCGTCCGCTTTTCTGTACTCCCGGGCCCCTCCGTTCAGAACCGCTGGTCTGAATGACTTCTCCTTCCCCCTTGTCTGCTCTAGTGCTCAACCTAACCTCGCCTTCAGCTCCCTCTCATGGGCCCTGAGTACACCGTGAGCGGCCTCTGGCTTGCAGCCATGGTGGTCTTCCTCCTCTTCATTGCCTCCGTGTCCCTCGTTATCGCCTGCATCTCCAAGGATCCAAGCCCCAAGGCCGCGGTAAACTCCCACTTCTCCCTCCCCCTCTCCCTGGCCATGTTGCTTTTCCTAACATCAGTGATAATCTGCAGGGTAACAAGAAGACCGACTAAGACGAGCACGAGAAAATATTTTATTGAGTAGAATTGAGTTGCGTTAGAACTTTAAACATGCTGGAGGGATCACAGTGAACTTGTGAGAGTGTGCCGGAGGCTCCTAGACACGATCCCTGCCCTTCCTCCTTCTTTCTCTGCATTCACGCGAAGTGAGTCTTATCGTCCCAGTTGTCCGTCTCCAGCAGGGGCTTGCGGTAAGGTCCCATGAAGTCATGGTCAATAGTAGACTCGCCCAGCTCTCCCTGCTCACTGACGTCAGTGCGAGGAGGGGAGGAGGTGGGAGAAGCAGACTGGGAGGCTTCAGGGGCAGGAGGGCAACGAGGAAAAGGAGGGAGTAATCATCAGCAAACGCAGCACCTTGAGGTGGATCCCAGTGATTTGCTGCGAGACAAGCGACCCGACTGCAGGAGCAAGCTTGAAGCCGTGCCCTGGACGACTGACGTCAGCAGTGGAGAAAAGAGAGGGAGGGAGAACAGGAGTAAAGGAGCAATTTTGCTATGGCAAGAGGTTGAGAGTGAAGGCAAGGACAAAGACCTGAGAATCCGTTGCATGCCCACAAGCCCTTCACTTTGGTCTGACCGATCATGGGATGGACGTCATCCTACATAATCGTCAGTACGAGCGCAAGGACATATTGAGCGCGATTCACCTGGTTCACGGTGTACATGCTCGAGAACCCGACGATGCTTCCGGAGGTAGGGAGGCCGGGAAGGCGGTGGAAGACGGCGTTCAAGTACTCCTGTAGAGCAAGTTAGGAACCAGCCAGCCTCTCCACCACTTGAAATCACCTGCTTGAAGTCCGGATCGAGGTTCTGGTTGTAGTCGTCGGGATCAACAATCTCTGACTCGAATCTGAGGTGATCTGGTAAGAAATATTCTTGCCAGCACTGAGCAAGTGCGATCTCTTACCTGTGATCGACGGAGCCGAACACGAGCTGGTTGTTTGCTCTACGTGGCATGAAGTAGATCCCAGACGCTCCCCAGGTGTCCGCAGTGAAGGGAAGATCGCAGTACTCGTCAGGGATCCACTTGTGACCCACCTGGATGCGGGTGGGAAGGGCGCTGGTCGAGAGCTTGATGTCGACGGTGTCATTCAACTTGTTGAACCAGGGTCCAGCCGCGTTCACAACCACAGGCGTATCGATCACCGCGCCTCCCACAAGCTGCACTCCTGTGAGCTCGGCTCCGTCTCCCTTCTGTCCGTTCTTGGTCAACAGAGTGTCGACCTTCTGCTTGAACCTGACATCCGCTCCAACCCTTTTCGCCGCAGCGAGAACATCCAGCAGGCAGGTGGAGGAGTCCAGGTGGCCACATCCATGCTCATACAGCACGGAGAACGGCCCAAGGTTCTGATCGACCTCGTTTCCTTCCTCGTCGAACTTCGGGAATGGCTCCGGGTTCATGAGGGGGAACTTCTTGCGGAATTCGGCTTCATCGAGAACGTCAGAGTCGACTCCAATCTTCTTCAGCCTCCCCTGCATCATCTGATTGAAATCCTTTGGCTTCCCAAGCATCCACAACGCGCCAGTTTCAGTGAAGTACGCCTGGGCCTCAGGGTCTCTCAAGTACTCCTTCCAGTTCTTGTAAGCAGTGGTTCCAGACAGGGCCAGCTGCATGGTCGGATCGAAGCTGTAGAAGGCACGCTGGAATCCGGTGGAATAACCTGAGGAGCCGAACCCGACAGCTGCCGCTTGCTCGAGCACAATAACCTTGAGGTTCTCAGCCCTGCGCTTGAGCTGGTAGGCGATGTTGAGACCCATGATACCTCCTCCAACAATCACAACATCGGCTGTCTCCTTGGAACTCATCCACCTTGCTCTTCCCGCCTCCTTCAACAGCCTCCCTCTCTTTCCTCCTCCTCTTGCCATCGCCCGCATGCCATGCGCCGCAGCACTAAGCCACCCCTGCATTGTTGACCGTGACCACACCCCGACACCCACCCCCTATTTATAGACTCCAAATACACCCCACCCATCAAATGACCAATGCCACATGTCATCAAGGTGGGGTACCTACCACTACCCCTGCTCGGCGAGAATGGGGATACCACCCCTCCTTTGATAGAGCGCCCCTTTTCTTCTGCTCTTGCTTCACCACCATATTGACTACCCCTACCCTACCCATTTCTCAAAATACCCCTCAAAAGACAGCCTCAACGAGGGGTAACTGATACACCCTACCCCATTTTTCAGCAAACCATCAGTTCCTTGTCTTTTGTAACCCATGATCTACCCCTACCCATTGTTTCCAACAAAGAGCAGGTACCCCACCTTTGAATCTCATACCCCTCTTCTTCGTTCAGGACCCATAAAATTTCATACCAAAGTACCCACTCATGAAGAATATTAGACTACCCTCACCCCCTTGCAAAGAAAATTCGCCTTTTTATACCCACCCTTTCGGATCATTTCGATTACCCACCCCGCAACCCTGCAAAGTCCCTGCACGCCACCACCCCCCAGTATATTCAACTTTGTTTGTAACCCACCTTGGTCAGACAACAAACGGATTCAGTAAAAGGGACGGGTCACTCTCCTGTAAGTCTAGTACCCACCCACCCTCACAAATTCTGCTGTCCTTGCATGGCACGTGTTCCATTCGTAGTCAGTAGATCGTGAAGATATTTTGTCCTTGTACTTTCATATGATGTCTATCTGAGGCGGATTGGAAAAACTTACCCGTGTAAAGTGCACTGGTCAAATGCTATTGGTCAAAATGGTTCAAATCATGGTCAAATTATGATCCGATGGTTTCTTCAGTTCAGTGCCATCTCGGACCAGTCAGGGCCCGGGAAAGCGAAATCCGATCGGACTCCGGGTCACGGCCAGGCCCCCGCCGGCGGGCCAACTAAAAAGCCCGCCTCAATGTCGTGAGGGGGCAGAAGATTCAACATAGAAAAACATGCGAGCGGGAAGAGGACAGCAGTTCTAAATGCGCACGAAGAGACGAGGAATGCACTTTGTACAGAAATGAACAAGGATGACAGGAGGAAGATGGAGAGATGGAGCAGAGGAAAAGGGAAGGCAAATGATGAGATGCTTTGGAGGGAGAGGAGTTGGCGATAAGCGGAAGACGGGTTGGGATCAGGAAGAATGAAGAGGAGATAGGTTGTTGTCAAGTTTAGATGGAACGAAAGGTAGGGCAAGCATTAGGAGGAAGATAGCAAAGGGACAGGTAAAGGAAGATGAATAGACAGTCGCACAATCATATCAGTGACGGATCGAGGCATCAAAGGGATGACAAGGCGACTAAAGGAGGAAGGGGTATAAGATTCGATAGAGTCTTTCGTGGAGGACAAGTCTTTCCCACACTCTCACTCCCTTTTTTCTGTTTTCGCTCATTGCTGATATACTCATTTTTACTCAAGGCCTACTTCGAATACATTCATTCGGCGTGTTCCTCGAGATTCACCATCAAATAGAGCGTAGCAGCAGCTGCTGATCCAAAGGACAGCTTACCCTGTATTGCGGCGAAATCCGGATCTCTCTTTGTTGATCATGGTCGTTCAACTGTATCACAAGCATCCAAGGCAGCGGAATGCTGCGGCCAAACACGAGGACGGAGTGGATGAAAATGATGACTGGCCCTCATCCTCCTCCTTTGACGGCGGGCTACAGTCAGCGATGCAGCAGAGACTGGTGGGAGTTTCAAGGCGATGGAAAGTCCGCAATCATGGAGCCTGGGAGCCTTCAACGAACATCTCGACAGAAACGTTCAATGATGACTACTTCCGCAGAGTGAGGGAGGAGAATCGCCGCACCCTGGACAAGCTCAGGTCCAGTCACGCTCAGCACCTGGAGCAGGCGCACCAACTTCTACTGCGGGGCGACGCCATGACGACGGAGTTGGACAGGGTGGAGCTGACACTCCGCCTGCTGCCAAAGCTCAGCTTCTCTAATCAGCACGAGGCTGCTGATGGTCCCTCCATCCGCCCTCACAGCTGGGCCAACAACCGGTGGAGGAGCGAGGATGGGGAAGGACATGTGCATGCGGCAGGCAATGGTGGCAAGACCGCCATGCGACATTCAGATGGACTGATGAGCAGCAGAGCGTATGCCGAAGTCTCTGCATCAAGCACGGAGAAGGAGGAAGGGAAGAAAGACTACGGCCTCTTCAGCGGAAGGATCGGCGAGGTGAGGAACCGCTCAACCGGGAAGAACGGCGGGACGAACGGCGGGACGAATGTCGCGTGCTCGGGAGGAGAGAGCTGGAAGGAGCAAGGGACGATGTCGGCAGGTCTGTTGGAGATGAGAAAGCTGGAAGGTGTGACTCTGACATTCATGGCATCGGCAGCTGTTGCTCCTCGGTCAAGAGACAGGTCAGTAGGTACCCCTAGCCCACACACTTGTGATTCCTTTGCTGTGTCAGGATCGTTGGGCCCGAGGACGTGGTCAAAGACTTTCACGAGAGGAAGTCCAAGGCCCTTGAGCTGATCTGGAGGCACTCGGGAGAGGAGGGGATGAGGAGGAGGGGCGAGTTTTGGGTGGAAGGGTTGGATAGAGTCATCGACGAAGTGCAGAGGAGGAGTGAGAATCGCAGGGAAGACAACGACAGGATGAAGCATGCGACGCTCTCCTCCTTTGTAGTCTAGCTGGATCACCGGCATGCTCTTAACGAGACGGCACGCATGATGCAAGGATACTGTTTCGAATGGATTTTTCTTTCCCACATCTCTCCTCCTTGCCGTCGTCATTTTTCCCTTCCGCTCACTCATTCTCTGCCCCTCTGTCACTCAAGCATCCTTCATCTTGCTCCTCGCTACCGCCCTCTCCCTGCCCCGCCCATCCCTCCCTTCCCCCCTCCCCTCGGAAGCTCTCCCGTCCTTATCCCTCAGCTCTTTTCATATATTTGCATAAAGCCCGCTCCCTTGCCCTCGTTGCAATCCCCCTCCCCTCCCCTACCTTCCCCCCCCCGCCCCACCCGCCCCCGGTCTCCCTCCACCCCCGCCGTCCTTCCCGCTCGCTTCACACCACAGGCCAGTACTCCTCGCCTCCCTTGCCAGCATGTCGGAAGCGCAGATGAAGTTCTTGGAGGAGAGGAGGAGGCAGCGAGCTAGCGAGAGTCAGCAGACGTCCAACGGCTCTGCTCCAGACGATGGCGCAGGGCAACCTCAGCGGTACACCGGCTACGGGTCGTTCGGGGCACAGGAGGAGGCGCTGCCTGTGGTCAAGACGGAGGATGTGTGGCGATGGAAGAGCGGGGAGGGGAGGCTGGGAACCTACTTCGTCGCGCACCATCAACCCACAGGCGCGACTGTCGAGCTCTTGCAAGGTCCGTGATTGACCACTTGCGGCAACATGCTGATCAGCGTCCTCTTGCTCCTCACAGACATGGTTGGAGGCTTCTCCTTCCAGCGCGTCAGGGGGAGTCAGGTAGAGGGAGGAAGAGGAGGGGGAGGAGATGGGGTGGGGGAGGAGACCCTGTTTGATGTTCGATTATAGATCAAGTACTGTACTCCTCTCGGAAGCATCCAGGATGAAGACTCTCCCTTCGCTCCTGCTGTCATGCAGTCACTTGCCAACGTTGTCCCTTGTTGCGACACGAAAGCTGCTGACATGTGCACGTAGGGAGGAGGAGCGAAGCTGGTGGCAGGAACGGACACAGGAGCATGGGGGAAGCTCAAGGTATGACCTGTTCCTGCATGGAGATGGGGAAATTGTCGCACTGCTCACTTGAGGATCATTACAGGAAGCGAAGCACAACCTCGTCTTGAATGCAAAAGTTCAGGAGAGTGACCGCAAATGTCGCTACATGTGCATCTAACGATATCTCTCTCTTCCCCCCCCCCCCCCCTCCCCCTTCTTCTTATTTCGATGGTTTCCGAACTCTCTCCTGCTCCCAACTCTCTCGCCGGTCTCCCCTCCTGCACACGACTTGCATTTCTTCATTCTCCCGACTCTGCCTCACACATTTAATTCCTCTGTCTCTCGTTGCCACTTCTTCTATACAGGAGCGGTCGGGAGAAGAAAGTGCGGAGCTACACTTCACTGTGGATGGGTTTATCTTCAAATCTGTGATCATCCTCATCAACTCGCTTTCAGTCACTGAAGGTGCTCGTGGTTAGGCTTCAGGTGCAAAGAACGTGCTGGTCAAACAAGGAGAATTCTCCGTAATCAACCTTGATGAGGTGAGAGTATCTGTGTATGCGACATTGCCGATGACCCTCTCCCAGTTCCATCGTTTGATACGATAATCACAAACCATTCATCATCAGATGTTTCATTTCCATTCTACATCCACCTCCTCCATCCGCATTGCAGGTTGTGAGAATTTTGCTTGCATCAGAAGCACATGAAACAAATCAAAACCCCTGATTTTTTACACAAACTGTTGTAGAAGAAATGAAGACAACATCGTGATAAATTTGATGGTTCAATAAGAAAGGATGTAGAAACGCCAAGACCACGTTCCATCACTTCTACAGTCGACAACGAAAACAGAGAAGCCGACAGGGACTTAATCATCTTCCTTCTTGGGAGGTTTGCCGCAAGGAGAGAGCATCTTCTGCAAGTACTGGTACTTCAAACGCCCGATACTCTCGTTCTCCGCCACTGAGTTGTACGCTAGCAGGGAGTAATGCCCAATGTACGCGGCATACGTGTCCCGGTGTTGGTTCACCGCCCATTCCCACTTTGAAGTATCGGCATGGCCAGTGCCGACATATTTCATCTGCAGGTGCTCCTGCTGACTGTAGACTGACTTGGCATCGGAGGACATCTTTGGAAATAAAGTTTGACCGCGACTGAGTTAGAAGAGAAGTGTATCTGATTGGACCTTGATCTGTGTTTATCTGCTCTGCACTCTGCAACCCCCTTCTTCTTTCTATGTCGTCCTGTTCCTGTACTGCCGATGCACTTTGATCCTCGTGCTCGTCCTCGTGCTCGTGCTCGTCTTCTCGTACCTCCTCTACCTCCTGTACCTCTTCCTCTTCCTCTCCCGCGCGCGCACCTATATAAATATGTATCCTTATAAATAATTTTATTGTGATTTTTGTATAGCATTTAATTTTTTGTAGTACTACAAAATATTTGGTTTATACAAATTATAAAAACAATATTTTATTATTGAGCCGGCTCAGTAATTTAATCGTAGTGTTACTAAAACCATTCATAGTATCAATTTTATATCTCTGGAAGGTTTCAAACCAGTGAACGGTTTCAACCGAGACGCCCGGGCCGGGGCGTGTAAACCGTTCACGGTTGAACTGAGAACCACCTGGCCCGGGCCGGGCCCGTCACACTTGGCCGGGCTCAAGTTTTCAAACAGTTCGGAGCCGCGAAGTTCGGAGGTTCTCAGAACTTCACATGAGTGGCCGGGAACCATGGTCGATCCTGGCACCTACTCAGTCACTGACGGTCATCCGAGCCTTGGATCTTTACTTGGAGGCTGGTAGTACGCTCTTTAAACCCTTCCTGAAGGCTAGTATGGTACGACTTTAGGCTAGGTTACGACTCGCTCGCCACCTCCTCCTTCTCTTCCGGGAGCAGAGGGCTGGGCGACACCCGGGGAGCAAAGCGATGGTTGAGGTCCTTGCAGAGACCAGACATCACGGTCTCAAGAGCGAGGAGGATGTCGGACAGACACTCGACTCGGCTCCTGAACTCAGCGGCAGTCTGAGGATCCAACGACTTTGTCCCATCCCCCCTGGACGCGCCCTGGTCCTTCATGACACAGGCGAGCGTCGCCTGCAGCTCCTTCCTCTCATTGAAGAGCGACTCGTAGTCTGACTGCCACTCCTCACACTCCAGCCTCAGCTTCTCGATCTGCTCGGGGGAGTCATGGGCAGCAGACAGGAAGGAACTCGCCGACCTGCACGCGCAGCATGTCCTCGATGTCGATCTCTGCCAAGTCGGTCTTGAGCTCCTCGAACTGCAGCTAGTCATGAGGATACAAGGAGGGCCAAAATACGAGGAAACGAAGAGGAAGGGGAAGAGCAAACGAGAGGTGAAGGAGTGGAAAGGAAGAAAACGAGAGAGGAGGGAGGAGGGAGGAGGGAGGAGGGAGGATAGAGGAGGACCTGGTCAAGCGCACGGGCAAGAAGGGGAGGCAAGGAAGAGAGGGAGAGCTCATTGCTCAAGGACTCCTTCGAATCCTTCACAGAAAGTTTAGACCTGCGCCCTCCACCCTCTTGCTTTACACACCAAGGCAGAACTGTTGGGTCCACGACGGAACAGGTCCGAAAACCTCGCTCTGTTGCCCCTCCTCCTCATCGACCCATCCCCCTCCAGCTCCTGCTCCACAGTCTCACCACCACCCAACTATCGCCACCGCCATCACCTCAATCCTCTTGCACATCCTCTCCCCCTCCATGTGGAACTTCACTATCGCAGCGTCTCTCTGCATCGTCGAGGAAGATCAGCAAGGAAACCACAAGCTAACCTCCACCTGCAGCTCGGCTGTGAAGAGCTGATCGCGCAGTTTCGACTCGACATCTGCCAAGGGCAAGTGACTGACCAGCGCCTCAAAGGGACTCCCTTACTTATCCTCCGGTCCATTTGGACTCGTAGCCACTCCAGCTCCTCCCGCAAGACATCATATGACTTCCTGCGATCGAGCGAGTCAAGAAGGCATCCACAGGAGTGCGATCAAACTCACTTGTCGACCATGTCTTGTCCTCGAACATCTTTGGCTCGCTCCTTCTCTCTCGAGTGTTCCTCGGGGACCTGTAGTACGATCATCGGTGCTGCATGGTGAGACAAGAAGAACATTACATTGTGCAAGTGTTGCAACTCCTGCTCCTGCTCCTGCTCCTGCTCCTGCTCCTGCTCCTGCTCCTGCTCCTGCTCCTGCTCCTGCTCCTGCTCCTGCTCCTGCTCCTGCTCCTGCTCCTGCTCCTGCTCCTGCTCCTGCTCCTGCTCCTGCTCCTGCTCCTGCTCCTGCTCCTCCTTGAGTATTGTACTCTCCTCATCAGCAGGATGATATTTCTCTGGGGAGTCTGTCTCATCCTCCAGCGAAGTCTCGGGTATCACGGGCAGCATCTGTGCAAACTCGTTGCTGTCCCTCTGAAAACAGTTGCCTTCTTGCTCGATGCTGGTGGGAGCGAGGAACTTGGTAGATTCTCCATCCTCCTTCCTCGTTAAAGTCTCTTCATCCTGGTCCAGTTCAGCACCCTGTTCTTGCAGTAGGGCAAGCTTGTCCGATAGAACCCTCATGTTCTGGATCTTGTCATTGAGCGCCTGATGAAAGAAACCCCGTCACTGGTGCTGCCACATCAGTTTTTCAACATGCAACCCACACGCAGACATCAAGAGGTATGTTTGACATAGAAGCACGTTTCAAATGCGACTCAAGGAGTAGATTCACCTTGACGTTTTGTTCGAGGTCTGCCAGCTCTGCCTCCTGCCGGGTCACTTCCGACAGCTTCGATTTCTTCATCGTCAGCAGATCATCCAGCCTTGAGTCAATCAGATCATTCTCCGCAGACGAGGTTGCTATGAGAGATCTCAGACTTTCATTCTCCTTCCTCCTCTCCTCCAACTCCTCCTCCAAGCCTTGGGTCAACTGCTGCTCCTGTGAAAGTTTTGCTTCCAGCTCATTCCGTCTCTTGTGGATCAGATCCATCTTCTGTTCCAACTCCAGCAAGGTAGCATTCTCCTCTTCCAGCCTTTTCTGCATCATCTTCGATCTCTCCTTCGCCTCCTGCAGAGCTTGAGCCTCTATCCTGTCTGATTCTTCCAAGGCAGATTGAAAGCTCATGTTCGAAACATCTACATCCCCCTCCTGCCTCCATAGCGTCCTGCTGTTAGGATCCAACTCATCAAAGACGTCCAACACTCTCTGATCTATCTTTTCAGGCATGTCTCCATCTGCTCTAGACACGATTCTATCTGACGCCGAGTGAAAATTGTCACCCAGCCACGAGTTTGACGACCCCTGCAAAGGTTGGGCGTTTGCATTCTCAACAGTATTGCTCTGCAAATCATCTCCGAAATCAATCAGCTGCACAGAGCTCACATCTGCACGAGCATCAGGCAGGGTTTCCCCTTCTTTGACTTGTTCTGATCGCTGTAGAGCATTATCGTAGGTGACGCTGCTTCCAGAATGTTGGTCGACAGATCCGGATACACACTCTTTCTCCTCGTCGTTGCTTCCCGCTTCGATAATTTGAGCTTGCTCAACATCATCGTTGCAATCAGTCCTCTCCTCCTCTCGAGCCCCAGCATTGTCGAATCCAGTTTCCACTTGTAACCCGTCTCCCTTCAACGAGCTTCCTCCCTCTCTGACTCCACCTTCTCCTGGCAAATCCTCCAATCCCATCCCCCCTCTCATGTCTAACATGTCCTCCACCGCCAGTCCCCCCTCATTCGCATGTTCAACCCGCTCGTGATAGTCTTTCACATACGCATCCCCTTCCTCCTGAGCCAAAAGTAATCGCTCTTCCTTCTGGGAGTCCCCTTCAGGCGCCTCCTCCTGCCCATTCTTCTCCTGCCCCTTCTTCTCGCTGGTCTCTCCAGTCGACTCGCTTCCGTTCTCCTCCTCTATCCCCTCCTTCCTCTCCTCCCTCCTTTCCATCACGCCTTCATGCCCATGCTCTGCCATGCCATCTGCAGATAACGAGCAGTATCCGTGAAAGTATCCGTAGCAGTATCCATGCCAAACCGCCTCATGAGACTCAGACTCAGATGCAGTGCCATGATCCCGGCGGGCCGCCGGGCCGCCGGCCTCAGTACGGTACGGTACGGTACGGTCACCCGGCCCCGGGCCCGGGAGTCAGACCTTAAAAGTCCATGTGCTCCTAACTTCCTTTGAAAACGAGCCTCCTGGCAGCGGATGAAACCACCGTGACCGGAGGGCTCCTCATTCCATCTGCATCGATTTCCAACATCCCGGAGTCCTGCCTACTATCATAGTAGCCTACTTTTACTCAAAGTTAAGTTAAAGATCAGTACGAGGACAATCAGGAGAGTCGAGGAGGCTCATAGTAGCCTGTAACAATTGATCGGACTCAGCCTTGCATTAAGCCGCCACTTGTCACCTCCTCGACTCTCCTGATTGTCCTCGTACTGATCTTTAACTTAACTTTGAGTAAAGTAGGTCACCCCGACAGTTGCGAGCTCTTACTTGATGGGCCGGGAAGAGGCCCGGGGGAGGGGTCCTACTGGTTGTGATGGATTCTGTGGGGTGGTGGGGGTGAAGTTGAAGGGTAGGTCCTACTGCATATCTCATAGCGAAAATGCGAGGGTCGGACTTGGCGCTGATGCCATCATACAGCAGGTAAGGAGAGGAAGAGAGGAGGAGAGGAGGAGAGGAGGAGAGGAGGAGAGGAGGAGAGGAGGAGAGGAGGAGAGGAGGAGAGAGCGAGCAGGTTGCAAGACTGTCGAGCCTCGGATACCAGAAGAGATGGCCATCTCTTCTCCCCAATGTGGAGCGGGAAACTTAGGCCCGACAATGCAGGATCCAGTCAGTTGTATCGTGATGAGGATTGAAACTGCCATAGCAGACAGGCAAACTTTTGGGTGTTTGGCCAGACGGTGTTGAGAATGTTTCGTTAGAGGAGATGGTAGACATGCTCTCAACTGCAACCTCAAACTGCAAGATGTCAGGATGTAGAGACACTGATCTCTGCACGCAACTATCGCAGATCTCGTCGAACTCCCGCTGCTGAAGTTCACTTTGCAAACTTTGCCATTGAGAAGCTTGAAAGTACATTCACTTCTCACGCGGCTGGTGATGTTCCGGATTTCCATGTGCTCCCCTGATCAACATGTCAACAGAAGGAGAGTCAAGAAGGATCGAAGAGCCAGCCTCCTCGCATCCGTCCTCTGCATCTACCAAGGAAGCTAGGGAGGTTCCTCTCTACTCATCTCCAAGGAGGAAGAGCAAGACAGACGGCTCAGGGTACGAGCGCAGGCTGCGCGTGCCATCAGTGATGTACGAGAACTTTGTAGGCGGGGCAACGGGCTCACGATCAACAAGGAGAGCATCCTGAAGCTGGAAGTCAACAAGGGCGACACAGTGAAATTTGTATCGCAGCTCTTCTGATTCGTGAGCAGCACTGACATGACCTGCAGTTGGAGCACATCTCAAGTGAGCTCGGAGACGCCGGGTACTTCCATCCTGCCGCATCATGAGCAGAGACATGCTCTCCGGTGGACCTCTCACTCCTTCCTGCAGCATCATCAAGAGCAAGAGGAGGAGTTTCCCCTCGAGGACGAAGCGAAACACGTCTCCCCGATCGAGGAGCTCACGTTCATCTGCTCATGTGCGGATCGTTGCTTGCTCCCTACCCCAGCGTTTGATCGCCTCGCAGACTAGGAGAGCAGTCTCCACAGCCCTCAGCTCCCTCCTCCCTACAGATCCCTCCCGATCCTTCCCAGCTCTTTCTCCTCAGCATCCAACTGGTGGACAGTCGGTTGGTTCATCCTTCTGCTCTGCTCTACCCTCCCCTGGTCCCCTCCCCTCACCTCTCCCCTCCTCTCCCCTCATTGCAACATCGCTGTGAACTCTGTACCCAGCAGGTCCCATCCAATCAGCCACACCCCTCCCCTTCCTCATGGGTGATCCTCTCCTCTTCTCCTATAACTCCTCATATCCCTGGCAACGGCAGGGGCTGGTCGACAGCTTCCTCTTGTCAAAGCCCAACATTGAAAAGCAGCTTCAGGTGCAGGGACATGTTTTGAAAGCAAACTCGCTTCTAACTTTCACGCTCACATCAGTTGCTCGACGGCAATCACACGAACTCCCCGGGTGCATGCCTTGGTTCACAACCTCCGACCCATGACGTGGCTGGGCAGGTTCGCAATCCTGGGACACGGCCGACAACTCCAAGGCGTCTAGCCCAGTCATGTCTGACATGTAAAGCAAGCGCTTGCAACACGAAGTGAACTGAGTTGCGACCCTCCAGTCCCAGGTACGACGAAGCCAGGCTAAAGCTTGACAGGGAGGTCGAGCAGTACAACGGCAGCGATGACCTCTACGAGACTGCTCTGCAGGCGTATAGGATCGACCACCTCATCAGTCGTGCCTCCAACCCCATGCTCATTACCAAGTGCCACTTCTACTTCCCCGCGAGGTTCGGCATCTGAACGAGGCCTCGTGCTTGTGACTCGAGGTGGCAGGAAGTCCGGGCAAGAGACTCTGCTGCAGCCCTCCAAGAGCGAGCAAGGCAAGGGAGAGCAGCAGCAGGCAAAGAGCAGAGGACCGTCCAGGCTCGAGGACCAGGGGGAGCTGCCGAATCTCAAAGAGCTGTACCAGCAGGCCACCACCATCTATCGAGCAGATCAAGCTCTGACCCGCACCAGCTCGAACCCCCTCAAGATCTTTCCTCTCTCCAAGTTCCCTGCGAGGGGCAGCAACACATCCCCCTTCATGGCTGGCGAGGTCCCGCAGGAGGAGGCCGCCCAGGGCAAGGGCAGGGTCAGTCCCAAGAAAGTCCGGAGGCAGTTCAAGACTGGGAGGGCCCGGTCGAGGACGGCAGAGAGGAGCCTGTCTCGCGGCCTCCCGCTGTCCCCCCGGTCATCAAGTCCGCAGGAGCACTTCAAAATCAAGGACTGGGGCCGAGGAGGAGACTTGTTGATGCTGGGAAAGAACGTCCTGATGCTACCCAGCCAGCCATAGGCTGCGGACCAGAAGCTCGTCGGAGGATGCGAGGCGGCGCAGCAGGGAGGATGATCCGAGGTAGGCAGACTCACTTCATCCTCGTCGATGTTCAGGAGCTCTGAAGGCCGGCGCTGGCTCTCCGGGTGAGCTCGCCCTCCTTGCCTTTCACTGATCCCTCTTGTGATTGTGCGTGCCTGGTGTAGGAGGACGTGGCGACCTGCAGCTCCTCTTTCGCCTCGTTGGGCTTCCCCTTGCCCTTCCCTGCTGCGTGCGTCTTGCCCTGCTTGACCCTCGTCTTCTTCTTACCGTACATCTTGGTGTAGGTTCGTTGCATCCCTATGGTCCTGAGCCCTCCTGACTGGTGAAAGCGATCTCCGTCCACCAGAACCAGCTCGGAGTCCCACTCGGAGCCCTCGCTCCATGGCGACGGGGGCGACTTTGGGCTGAACTTGGGGATGCGGTGGGCATGCAAGCTTCTGCCTGCAGCGGAGAGCTGAAGTTGCGCCAGGTGGAGGAAGGTGAGAGGAGCGGCTCCGAAGCAACCGTCGTTGGGCATGTCGACGTTGTAAGATCCCGGGCCTGAGGAAGCGCGTGAGGAGGAGACAAAAGTGGGGAAGGAGAGGAAGAGGTTGGGGGAAGAAAGAGGAGGAGGTGGCAGGGAAGGAGGGGAGAGGAAGATCACCAGGGGATTTCCTTTCCATGCGATCAGAGGAGATGATCAAGGATTGGGAGCGGCTGTTGCGGGCTGGAGTGATGATGCGGAGCTTGGGGACATCGGTGGGGCTGAGCTTGCACGGGGAGAGGAGGGGCTCTAGAGAAAGCCCGATGCTCTCCTTGCTGCCAGGACGGAGCGCAGATGTTTCGATGCCCTGCAGCTGGGAGAAGGGGCGAAGGGTCTGGGCCATGGAATGAAGAGGAGGAGGAGGGCGAAGCGCGAGAGCACGCTTGTCGGGGCTGAGAATGTCGTAGCTCCCCGGGCCAGGGATGCGACGGGAAGCGCGCATGAGCCTGTCGAGGTAGGAGGGAATCTCAGCCTGCCCGAAGCTCGCCTTGGGCTGCGAGTTGTGCGCGATCGAGTCGCCCGGCTGCGGAGATTGTCAGTTACATTGAGTAGCTTCCTCTCCCCTCACCCGTAGTGAGCCAAACTTCTTCCCCCAGGCTCCTGGCCCGGGCGTTGGCTCCTCCTTTTTCCCTTGCTCAACGAAGTCCTTGGATCCAGGGATGTGGTGGGACCAGGCGTACCCGAGCCAGCTGTAAGGGGCATCAGCGAGGAAGAGGAAGCAAGCGACGCAGCGAGCGAGCGGGAGCAGGAGGGGGTGCGAGGGAGCAGAAACAGGATGTAGGTCAGGGAAGAGGAGCAGGAGGGAGGACGTGGAAGGAGGAGCAGGAGGGTTCAAGGCATCCTCACCCTCCTGGCAGCTTGGCAGCTGAGCTCTGTTCGACCCCGAGGTACTCGCCGGGGCCTGGCGTATCCTCCAGCTCGGGAGGTTGAGGAGCGGAGCCGAAGGCGACAGCACCGTTGGTCTTGATGCTCAGGTAAGCTGGACGGTGGCAGAGGAAGGAACTGACCTTGAGGGTGGAGGGCAGCTGATACTGAGCTGGGCCGGGGAGCTGGAAGAGATCTTTGTTGGGGATGGCGAATCTCTTGGAGGACCCGAAGGAGGCAGCTGGGCCCGAGCTCGGGTGCTCCTGGATGGAGCCGACACCATGGTGGTCAACCAACATCTTGACCTGCACCAGCTTTGAGCTGAGGGGAGGAGAAGGGAGAGAAAAGAAGAAGAGAAGGACAAGAAGGGAAGAGAAGAGACGGGAAAGGGAGGAGATGACTGGAATGGAGGAGATGAGATGGGATAAGAGGATTACTTTTCTCTCATACACAGGGATGTTGGATTTTGTAAACTTGTCCTTCACAGTCGTGCTGTATGCTCCCGGCCCCGGCGTCTCGCCGACCTGACGCAATTTGACGTCGTCCCACTCAGGCACTAGGGCCGAGTAGTGACGTCCGCCAAAGGAAGGACCGCCCGGCTGACTGCTCGGCTTGCTCCTCCGCACCTCTTCAGCTGGAAGTGCGTGAGAGGAGGAGAGAGTCGAGCTAAGGGCTTCCAGCAGCTCGTCAGTCAAGCTGGGACGTCGGGGAGGGTCTCCGAACTTGGGACCCTTGTTGTGCAGGGTGGAAGGAAGGAGGTAGTAGCTCCCTTGCGGCTGCGAGGGGGGGGTGAAGAGGGAAACCCCTGAGAGTCTCCCGATGAAGCCCCCCTTAATGCTGGGGCGTGTGGCGGCGTCGTTGTCGTGGACGAATCTGAGTGATGGGTTCGTTCAAGCGTGCAGGTAGGAGGAGGAGAGAGGAAGAAGGAGGAAGAAGAATGGGTTAGGGAGGAAAGGAGTTGAGAGCAAAGCGAAGAAACAGAAAGAGGTGAAGGTGTGGATGAGGGCTTGTGCCGCGAGAACAGAGAGGGAAAGGAGGGGAGGGGACGAGTAGGAAGAGGAGTGTAGGGGGGAGTGTGGGGGGGAGTAGGAAGTGGAGAGGGAGGGGACGAGAATGACAACGTACTTTGAGAAATCATCGAAGCTCTGTGTGCTCTTCACTTCCTCCCGAGCTGTCTGCACCTGGGTACTTATAGGTGAGACGAGCATGGCCTCTCCTCCCTCCTCACATCTCTTTGCGCCTCCTGCGCTGCCCTCCGGACCTCTGTCAGACGGGAGATTCTCAGTCGTTCTTCTTCGAGCTGGCTGAGCATGAGATCCGTCTGTACAGCAGTCAACGTCGTGCCAACAATCGCGATAGGGTTGTCATACCTCCTTGTAGTCTGACATGTTGGTCACTGATACACATCGCCTCTGAGCTGCACAACGGTCAGTCCTGGTTCAAGGCAACCAGCGCCCTCCATGCCTTGGATCTCGCCCTTGGATACACCCTTGTCCACGGGGTTTGCCGGTGAATGGCTGCTGCCCACTGCTGTTAGCTGTTCTCCTTTTAGCTTCGAGAGAGATTCTGCAAGGTAGTTGAGATTCCAAAATTTTCTGTTCTCAGCTGGTGGGTTCAGAACGAGCTCCTGCTTCGTGACTCTTTTTTTGCAAGGATCTTCCTCCTCCTCCTCCTCCTGCTGCTGCTGATCCATCTCGTCCCCTTGATACCTAACACGCGATTGATCATTCATGGACAGGCTAGAGCTTGATCTCTTCTTCCCCCTGGTTCCCTCGTTGCTGTGCTTCGTTCGCTTCGCCTGCAGATGAGAATTCTTTCCTTGTCGCTCGACGAGGAAATGAACTGAGTCCCCTGCCTTCCCGGCGGCAAGGAACAGGTGTCCCGAATGAAACGAGCTCTCATCTTCGAACATGTGGATCAATCTGTCTCCGTGAGTGAGCCCATCGTACTCTCCAGGGTCGATGACGACGAGGTGATTGTTTACTCTCAGCCCCGTCTTCGCATCCCCGTGCTCGGGGCTGTCCCTCCTCTCCTCCTGGACGCTCTTGGACCGCTGAGGAACGTCGGGGGCAGCCAGATGCGATCGATCCGGTTTGGCTGACTTGGGACGATGGCCGAGGTGGTGGGAAGGAGCGTCGGAGGGCTGGGAGGACAAGGGATGTCGAGGCTGTAGGGAAATGTCCTTGCATGCCTTCTGCAGCTTCCACCTCAGCATCACTTGCCAACACTGCTGGAAGTCGACGTTCCGGTGCCGTGAGGTTGGAAGGGAGGAAGAAGCCCTGCCGCAGAGAGAGGAGGAGAGCTGGTTCAGTACATGCGGGGGGGGCAAGGGAGGGAGAGGAGGATGACAACGATGTCGATCATGAGCGTGAGAGGAGGAGACGCTCCTAGATCGAGCTGCTGCAGTGACGTTGCCCACACGGCATGACGGCTAGTCAACGGACGGGACTACCCCACCCTCTAGATTCAAAGCGTGCTGAAAGAGGGGTGGGGGATGAGTTGTGAATATTTTCTCTCTATTGGAGTCTCTCTAGACTAGCGCAACACGAGAGAGAGAGAGAGAGAGAGAGAGAGAGAGAGAGAGAGAGAGAGAGAGAGAGAGAGAGAGAGAGAGAGAGAGAGAGAGAGAGAGAGAGAGAGAGAGAGAGAGAGAGAGAGAGAGAGAGAGAGAGAGAGAGAGAGAGAGAGAGTTTTCATTATTAAAGTTCTCTTTTTAAATTCTCTCTCTGTCTCTGTCTCTGTCTCTGTCTCTGTCTCTGTCTCTGTCTCTGTCTCTGTCTCTCTCTCTAGAGCGGCACTTGTACTTTCATGCTTCACGTGGACCAGATCGAAGCTGACCTGCCCTCCTGACCTTCAGCACTCCTCCGAGCTGTCCCTTGCTTGCATGTAGTGTTGAATCCCTTCGGCGGTTGGCGGAGCAACCCACTGCGGACTTTCTATTGAGCAGCTCATGTCGGGAGACGAGCCTGTAGTTTGCTCGTTGCTGTTCAGACACAGCGCGGTGCTATCTCTGTCCCTTCCTCCGCCCTCATCACACGATCCGCTCCTGTCTGTCACGTCGCTCGCTGGCCTTGGCGACTCACTCGACCCGTTCCTCCTCTTCACTTCCATTTCCTCCTCTCGCTTCCTCGGGCTCGATGCCCCACAAACATCTACTGGTACACCTGATGCCTGCCCCCCTTGTTCTTTCCCTAGCAGCAGCGACCCGCTGTCAGAGCTCTGCGAGTATGGAGGGTCCTTTCTCCTTATTCTTGGTTTCCTTGGCTTCGAATCCTTCGATCCTTTTGGTCGACCGGGACCTCGCGGGTGCCCACGGTCATACTCCAGCTTCTCCTCCATCGTCCACAGCTGTCGAGTTGTCTTCGCCCACGTCTTCCTGTCCCAGATGTCCCTCACGCACTTTGAGCTGACCGTGTACCTACTCCCAACCTCTGAGCTCTCTGCCGTCTTGCTCGCTGCTGCCACGTTGCGGCAGGAGTAGATCTCGAGGACCATCACGGGTGTCAGCAGAGCCTTGTCCTTTCTCTCGCTCTTGGGTTTCAAGACATTGCTGATTGAGGCCGTTTGCCTCAAAGACGCTGGAGAGGAGCTGATATCGTCGGAGCTGCTTGAGGGGGAGGGTTCAGTACCCTGCTGAGATGTGACGCTCATCTTGTTTGCGCACTGCACGACACCAGCACCAAGTCAAGATGATCAGGATACTGCTTCGAACCTGATCGTCGAGTTATCAAGAGATACTCTTTGCACAGAACTCAATAGCAACGGATCGTACTTGTTATCAACTGGTGACAGCGGTTCTCTTTATGTTCTGCACGAATGCAATCATTAGATAAACCATATTTATGCATGCATGCATGCATTCACTTCGCCGAACTTGGTTGGACCAAGAACAAAAGGAGGGTGCGTTGTAGACAAGAAAAAATGGAAGCAAAATGACCTGCACTTTCAACCAAGGGACATTCCAAGAATTGAGCATCAGGATGAAATGAGATCAAGGAGCACTATCATACTCTCACTCTTGCTCTTCCTGATCGTGCTCTTCTTGCTCTTCCTCGTTTTATCTACACCTTCTCCTGCTCCTGCTCCTCCCCTTTTCCTCCTCCCCACTCCTCGGGTCTCTCAAGGGAGTTGTGGAGGCGTCGTGGAGGACTCCGGGAAGCAGTATTGTAGTTGCAAGACAAATAGCCCCTGGTACCCCTGCTTTCAAGGGCTAGTTCTATGGTGGTCAGCATCCGAAGAGATATTTTAGCTTCGAGGCGGCGCTGAGTGAGTCTGCTCAGCGGCTGTGGGACTCGGGCCGGGACCGTACTCGGGCCGGCCCGGTGGCGCCGGACCGGCGCTTCACATAGAAACTTCCCGGAAACTTGTGACGCCCGGGCGCCGGACCCGTCACGCCGGGATCTGCGCGGCCCCCAGCCGGGTCACCAGTGGTGGGCCAGCCCAGCCTGATCCGATCATCGCCGCCGAGTCGGCCGGAAGCCCGCCCCAACTTCAAGTGATTTAAGGAGCATGCCACGCTGTAAGTTACATAAGAAGTGTACTAGCATGCTGACCTCCCCACTAAGAACCTCTGCGAGTTACAGTCCATTTCCCATCCTGTTTCGGGCTGGCCCTCTCCGTATTCCTGGAGTCCTCTCGGGGTCTTCCACCGCCTCCTCCTCTGCCGCCCCCCCGTCTATTCCTGCATGGGCTCGTCAGGGTTTCTTCAAGACCGACTTGCTAACAACACTTCACCTGTTCGCTGCGAACTTATCTTCGCTGATGCTGACGGAAATCTCTCTGCCGTCCAGAGGCATACCGTTCAAGTTGCTCACTGCATCCTTGGCGCTCTGCAAAGAGCCTTGTCAACAACTTCAAGGTGCAGGAGTCAAGAGACAGACCTGTTCATTGTCGTAGTCAACGAACCCGAAGCCCTGCAGACGGCCCCGATCAGCACAGGACAAACTAGCGATGCAACTCAGAGTACCCTCGGCCTCCCTGACTCCTGATCGTGAATTAACGACACTGAGACAACCTCGCCATGCTTCTCAAAGAGCGCTCTGCCCACAAACGGTCAAACCAAGAATCATCGCTTGAAGCAGCAAGCGGAGAAAAACGAGCAAAAGAGCAAGCACTTGGTGCAAACAGACATCTGAATCCTCGCATGCATATCTTACTGGAGCTCGGCCTCGGAAATCCTGAAAGGCAAGTTTCCGACGAAAAGCGTGAAAGCTCCCTTGCGATCGTGCCTGAACTTCTTCTCACCTCCTTGAGAGTTGGCCTGATCTTGCTTCTGCCAGTTGGACACGGGGAACGCTCTGAAGGTTGACCCCGCCGGCGCCTCCGCAAGGCGCGCTGCTGATTGAAACCACTTGTTGTTGCATACACTGCATTGCACCTTCTGCCCATCCGACCCGAGGTCCGCCGGATTGATGACATAAACTGCACCACACTTCCCACATGTTGTGTATTTACAGTCAAAGGGAACTTTTCCACTTTGGCTCTCTACCCAAGTGAAGTCCACGGTGGCGAATTCGTCATACGGATCTTCGATGGACTGCTCCGAGTCGTAGCTCACCGCCTTCATCTTTAGGAGCCCACTGTTCCTTTCTTGTCGCAAGGACTTCTGCATTGTCAAAAGGTTCAAACCCCGAGAGCCCCCCATCGCATTGATTGAGGTTGCAAACGTGCCACTGGGAATAGGCTGGCTACAAACCCTGCAAATCAATTTCAGAGATTTGAATCACAAGGAGAGACAGTATCAGAATTGAAGCTGATAGTGGGCAATCACAACAAAAGTATATAGATGATAGAGAACAAGAAGAGAAGTGCACTTTGAGTTGAGATCCCTCCTTGCAAGCAGTGTGTAAACAAAACTTGAACGGCCGGAGGCCATACCTTGCAGTAGCCGACGAAATCCCCTTTGACAGAAGCACATTGCTCTGTCCTTGGAAGGCTGTCGCTTCATAGCCCATGAAAGTGAGGAGGAGGAGGGAAGGAACTGTACCTACTCTCCTTCCCCTGCTACCCCATCCGCCAGTTACCAGCTGCGCGTGCATGGCGGCCCCAGTCCTTAGGAGAGGCGGTGTGTAGGGGGGTATTACCCTACCCCCCGTTTACCCAGAGACTGGATCGAGAATCGGGGGGTATCATGTGCTTGTCTCGGGGGTCAATCCTTTACAACGTTTTATAAAAATGCCTTAGTATTTGCAAAACTATTTATAGGAAACTGATACAGTATTTTGAAATGTGTACCAGAAAATAAACTAAAAAAAAATGCAAAAGCACATATAAATGACTGAAAGATGGGTACGAGTTGTTTGTTGATTAGTACTGATAAACAATCAAAATAGTTTTTAATTTCATACACGGTAATTAAAAATGTTTTTTACTATTAAAAAACGCTCGTAACGGATACCAACGAACGCAGAACGACCGTAACGGTGGAACAATATGGCGCAGAAGGGAGCGGGGAGGGGGGAAGGTAGAGGCGATATGGTGCCGGGACGAGCAACCCGCATGTTGTTCATGCTCAGATGCTTTCTCATCATGCCAAGTCAAGTCGTTGAGAGATAGCTCCTCTTGTTGCCCTCGTCTACCTGTCCTCCTCGGATTTTGTAACCCCGGCAGGTCGGCAGTCGGACTAGTTGCTATGGACTTGTTATTGTTGCTCAGATAACTTTATCCTTCGCTCCTGTGCATTCCATATGTCTGCTATCCTCATATACCCATTCTGTTTTGTTCCATGTAAGCAGTTTCGTGATGATGTCTGATGCACACTAGGAATATCTGAATCTTCACTCAATCCCAAAAGAAGTTCCTGTTTATTCGCATCAATTTTTCGAACATTTGTTCTCTGTGTTCCCATACTTGTCTCCTTTTATTTTTCATCCAACGATGATCTTTCATTGAAGGTACAGAAAAGTCGTGTTCAGCTTGCAGTTTCATTGATTGTCCCAGAGTTGTCATGCCATTTTCTTGCACATCGAAACATTTTTCTCTCTTACCTCTTTTCGATTCAAAGAGTTGCCCTGACATCTGCTGTTGTTCGTCAGATGTTCTGATACCATCAAATCGACCGCAAACAGGCAGACGATGGGTGACTCCGACGACGATGGGCTTGATGACTCAGTGGATTTGGCTCGCAAGCCGTGGACCAAAGAGGTGCTGTCACTTGATCTCTCTCATGCTCCTGCTAGCGCCCTTGTCTCTGTGTGATCCGCGATAGCGTGAAGGTTCTTTCTTGCAGCTGATCAGCGCTTTGAACAGGAGGACGAGCTAATCTTGAAGCTTGTTGCCACACACGGGACCAGGAAATGGTCCGTTATATCCTCCCAGCTTACTGGAAGAAGTGGAAAGCAGTGCAGGGAGAGGTAACCTGGAAGATGCGCATCTACCAAGAGCTCATGGCGTTTGGAATGATCTTCAGGTTCAAGAATCAGCTCGACCCCTCTATCAAGAAGGAGCCATGGTCTGCAGAAGAAGACTACGCAATCATACAAGCTCAAGCAGAGCTGGGCAATCGCTGGACAGAAATCGCAAAACGTCTTCCTGGAAGGTGCTGATTACAAGATGCGGGAAACAAGGGCTAACGTCATTCAGGACGGACAATTCCATCAAGAATCATTGGAACTCCACCTTGTCGCGAAAGAAAGATCAGATCCTGGCTGAGAGAGAGAAGCTGGGGTTGGGCTCCAAGGCATATGGAAATGCGGATGGAAACAAAATGTACGGGCAGGGAGACGGGGACGCGAGTAAGAGCTGGATGAATGAGCAGAAGTGAGTGCGAGATACAGACCAGGCGGAATAAACTGAGCCTGTCCTTCAGATCTGGTGCTGTACCTTTCGTAGAGGACGTCGAGGGCCTGGATACTCCCGAGTCACCTACGGATCACTGTCGGCATCATGGATTGTTGACGAAGTTGATATCTAAGAATCCAGTATGTCTTTGCCTTGTCTTGTGTCTGCACCTCAGATGATTCTGTTGCTCAGGAAATGTCAAAGACCGTTGACCTTCTGCGCCAACTCAAAGAAGGTGGGAAAGGTGCCGGTCAGACACATTTAAACCCTCAGGTCAATGCGAATCAGATCATGATGCCCTGGGGGAACTTTGGAGGGTTCACTCCGCACGGAGGATTCTCAACTGGCATGACGCCAACCCATGCCAGCTTTGCTCAAGGAACCGGTTTCACGCCAAGCCATAGCGGCTTCACTCCCAGTAACAGTGGCTTCACCCCAAGTAACGGCGGCTTCACGCCTAGCAACGCACCCTTTGCAGTCTCTGGCTTGACTCCAAGCAACTCCACCTTCACCCCCAGCAACGCAGGCTTCGGGGGAGGAAGCATGGGTTTCACGCCAAACAACGCGGGCTTTGCAGGAAGTGGTTTTACGCCGAGCAACGCAGGCTTTGGTGGAGGAGGCTTCACTCCCAACAACGCTGGCTTTGGTGGAGGAGGCTTCACTCCCAACAACGCTGGCTTCGGGGGAGGGGGAGGAAACACAGGCTTCACTCCCAACAACGCTGGCTTCGGGGGAGGGGGAGGCAACACAGGCTTCACTCCCAACAACGCTGGCTTCGGGGGAGGGGGAGGGGGAGGGGGAGGCTCCGGCTTCACTCCAAGCAATGCTGCTGGCTTCGGGCAGAGCTCGTCGATGAATTTCTCGTCCTCCTCAAACTTTCAACAGGGTCAAACATGGACAGGCCAAAACAACGGAGGAGTGACGCCTTCAAACGCGTCAGGGTTGGGAGGCAACTTCTTCCAGCCGAACCCTAGCGGCCTCACCCCCAGCAATGCCAGCCTGGCCGCCAACATGCTCAACACGCCCACCTACGGCTTTATGTTCTCTCCTCACGGCCAGTACAATTCGTCGGGGCAGTTCACTTCCGCGAACCAGCTTGCTCCTGCATCCCAGCAGTCGGTCGGAGAGTTCAACATGCCCGTGATGTCTCCTTCTTCGCGCTTCCACGGCATCTCCCCCAAGGGAGGATCCTTTCCCGGCCTCTCCGGAGGCGTCTGGACTCCTTCAGCTGCACTCCCGCCTGGCCATCTGCTCACCCCCAGCAACGGGCTCAGTGGGCCTCTCATGCAGACCCCCGGGGCTCATGCTGGAACCTCTCAGGGCAATGACGGGGTGGGCGCACAGAACGGTCAGGCACAGGGCTCGGAGCAGCCTCCATCTCACCCGGCCTCGAGTGGGATCCAGCAGCAGCAGCAGCATCATCATCAGCAGCAGCAGCAGCATCAGCAGCAGCAGCAGCAGCAGCAACAGCATCAGCAGCAGGGAGGCTTCCCGATCCATAGCACCCACCTGCCTTCCCAGCACACCATGCAGCCTTCGAGTCAGCAGCAGCAGCAGCAGCAGCAGCACATGGCTTCTCAGCTATCTCAGCAGCCCTTCATGCAATCGCCCTATCAGAACTCCCAGCAGCACCTCCAAGGCGACGTCGGCCTGCCCGGGATCTTCTCAACACCTCAGCAGCAGCCCAACACTCCCTCCTTTGGCATCGGAACCCCGTCCCTCCTCGCCCTCCAGTCCGCCCGAGGTGGCCCCAACTTCTCTCCCTCCAACTTCTTTCAGATGCAGACGCCGCACAGCCCCTCGTTCGCCGCCGGTGTCCCGCTGCTGGGACCGCACAGCGTCTTCTCCCCCTCCGCAGCCCCGCACTTCCTCGGGGACAAGTCCTACCTGGGCTCGGGCTCGAACACAAGGCCGTTCAAGATGGAAGGGGGGGATGGCGGAGAGACGTCGATGGGACAAGGAGGAGGGCAGGAGGCTCCGGGTTCGCAAGGGGAAGGGAGCATGCAGGATAACGGTGCCTCTGAGGACGGGGAGGCTTCAGGGATCGCGGGGAGGAGGAGGAGATCGATACACGAGAGCGGGAGCAACAAGAAAAGGCCTCCGCCATTGTCGCTGTCCGTCCCTGGGAATTCGTCTTGATCGAAACTTTTTGTGTCAAAATTTTCAAAACTTTCAAAAATTTGTTTTTTTATCCGTGACAACTAAATAAGGACAGAAGCAAAGGACAGTTGAAACATCAACAAACGACGGAGTCCTCCTCCTTCTCCTCCTCCTCCTCCTCCTCCTCCTCCTCCTCCTCCTCCTCGTGAGCTTGTTATCACAACTCAGATTGCTCATTTCCTCCTTGTCCTCCTCTCCTCCTTCCCTCGACTGCGCCTACCCCCTCGTCTCTCCTCCTTCATCTGCAGCTTTCCTCTCCACCGCATTCACCATCCTCGGTCTCCTCCAGGCTTCAGGAGGCCCAACAGCACCGTGCTCGCAGGGGTCTCCCAGCTGCTCCTGAATGTCATTCTCGAGCAGCAGAATTGAGATGCAAGAGGAAGACAGTAGCAGGAACGGAAGCAGAGGCAGAGGAGAGGAGGAGGAGGAGGAGGAGGAGGAGGAGGAGGAGGAGGAGGAGGGAGTGGGTAAGGTACCATGAGGACAAGGAGGAGGACAAGGATGAGGAGTGGAGGCTGGG